CGATATTGGTATACATAGAAGAAACGTCGATAGAAATTAAAATAGCATTAGAGGGAACTCGAAGATTTTTTATTTTATTGACAAAATCGGTTGTGTCTTTAAGGTAGGCGCGATGTTGGCATGCTAGAGGTAGTAAGAAATGATCAATGTATTCTGACACTGCATATGACTCACTACCACAGTCAGATATAATCGGGCGGCCTTTAGGGATTTTATTCGAGATAAACCATTTGAGTTGCTTACGAAGGGGCGAATCGTTTGCCCATTGCTGTCCCTGAAGTTTGTAAATATGTTTTACCATTAAATGTGAAATCGTTTCGACTAAGACAAATCTCTAAAAGCTGTAGAATTGCATCGTCGGGTCTGTTTGGATCTGGGTTTCTATTAAAAGCTTTACGAACTGCCGTTAAACCAGTAGTGTTATCGATATTGGTATACATAGAAGAAACGTCGATAGAAATTAAAATAGCATTAGAGGGAACTCGAAGATTTTTTATTTTATTGACAAAATCGGTTGTGTCTTTAAGGTAGGCGCGATGTTGGCATGCTAGAGGTAGTAAGAAATGATCAATGTATTCTGACACTGCATATGACTCACTACCACAGTCAGATATAATCGGGCGGCCTTTAGGGATTTTATTCGAGATAAACCATTTGAGTTGCTTACAAAATAATGAGTTTCTGATATAAAGGGACATGTTTTGCATCTACTGGACAAATATGGAGCACTTCTTAAACCTGGAGGTACTTCGGCATAAAGTCTGTTTTTAGCTGCTATTTCAGACATCAAATTCCAAATCTAGACCAAATTTTACCCAAAAATAGGCATGCAAAAACCCCAAAAGGGGGAGAGAAAGAAGATTTCTAAAAATAGCATTTGCATAAAATGTTTTAGTGGAGTGAGTCCATCTAGACAATCATATCAGAGTTATTTCCCATGAAAGTGTCGTCTTATTACACCACTGGTAGCATCTTTTCAATCATATTGTTACGACTTACAATTCTGTGTTACTGTGATCTGTGATAGTTCGGGTGTTTTGTTTAAAGTTTTCACAAATGATCTGCAACTGCATTTGATGGGGAAGAAAAATGCTTAAAGATTCATTCAATACTGGAGCTTGATTGCTCATTTGCTACCATGTCATCGGTCTATACTATAATACTTCAAGGTGCTGTTTATTTTACAAGAAAATTACAACGTTTAGCACATCTATGTTTTCTCAATATCGTATAATAAAGAAAGATTTTGTCTACATCTATGTTTGAAGCAGGAGTTTTCTACCTTGTTCATTCTATTACCCCTCAAGATCCTTTACTGTTTGAATTTCCCAACCCATACGTCTGTAACCTATACGTATAAACCTTTAAGAAACCATGCACTACAAAACATGGATATAGAGACAAAGATGGCTAAAATCTCACGGCGCAATACTTTTCGGACTTAAAGTGCTGTCGTGGCCTGGGACATGGATTCAGACCACTAAAACTTTTTATGTAAATGAGTGTGCAGGAATGTAGTCCATGTTATTTTTAGAAATCCTCTTACTCCCTCACTTTTGGGGTTTTTGAATGGCTATTTTTGTCTAATTTTTGGTTTAGATTTGGAATTTGATGTCTGAAATTGCATTTTCTTTCAGATTTTGTAAGATGATGAGAGATTTTCATGCGGAAGGATAATTCTAAAAATAGTCGGTTTGTGTGCAGTGCCAGTTAAGCGGATGTTGATAAAATGTAGTCTACTTTCAGTTTTGTCCAGAAATTAGGTATTGGCCAGGCTTTCATGTGACATATTGGAAAGTTTTCAACGAGATTTCTGGAAAAAGTTGCAGAAGGTTGCATTTCGTGATTTAACATGGAAACAGCCGGCAAATGAATTAGTGGAGCGAGTCCACATAGTGTAAATGCAGCAGAAAGCAGAGTTATGTCCCGTTAAGAGAGTTTCCGCGATCTGCACCCTGTATAAAATGTTTGTCATACAAAATTGACAGAAATAATTTCAGAGGTTTGATAACACTAATAAATAAATAAATAACAACAAATTTGTCCTCTAGATTATTTAATGCGACCAGTAACAATTCCCATGATAAGATCGATTTTATTCGTACACGCTTGAAATTAAAACTTAATCGTGTCTGAAAGAACAAAGATAACATCAAGAAACCAGCAA